ACTACAGGTACCAGAATGCAGCGCGGCAGCGGTGGCGTCGCGCAACTCCTCGTGAGATCGGTCTATGGGGCTTAATCCGTCGCTCGCCGCGAGGTGGCGCTGTCTGCCCAGTCATAACAGATGGCAAGGGGGTTTTTATAGCCTCACTTTCTTTGCAGTGCGGAGTGAATATAGATTTCACATTTAAATATTCTAAGCCTAAATGGTAAAACAAAATGGCTAGGTGGCGTAAGCTACCGCCCGATCCAAAGGGCTCAGCCGGATTCATCCATCCATCCATCCAACAGAGCGGCGAGCCGTCAGCGTCGCGGGTAGAGATCTGCACGGACCACACCACAGGCCATGGGCTTCATGGATACAATCATGAAGGGTCCGGGCCGGGTACGGGCTTTGCATTGAAGTCTACAAGGCGGGCCAAAGCGGGCAAAACCGACCATCACTTTTTTTTTTTTTCTTTTTTTAGCGGCATGTTTTTTGGAAGCGTTTCAGGGGTTGGGAGAGGAACGACAGCGGAGAGAAACATATGCTGAAGCATGTGTGTGTGCGTGTATGTTTTTGTACGTTTCGGGTGTGTGTACAGCGAATGTTCTTCCAGAGGACTAGCGGCGCGGCGTTCCTTTTCGATCATCAACACGGAACACGGACAAGGCATGGAACCAGGTGACACAAAGGACTTTTCCACCATCAACACGGACACATGCGCGCCCACACAATGCGCACCCTCGCCGGCGTAAACCATTCGTACGTACGAGCGCGCGCATCCCCAATATCTGTGAAGAGGTTGCACTGGGGGTGCTTTTTCTTAAAAATTTCTCGCAGACCACCGCAAAAGACGGCAATATTGCTTTATATATATATATATATATATATATATATATATATATATATATATATATATATATATATATATATATATATATATATATATATATATATTTAGGTTCTACACAGCAAGAGTGGCCAATATAGAACTTTGCCCGTGTTTTGTCCAAACCCGTCACGACTTTTCCCTTTCTTTTCAACTGTGACAGATGGTTTTGTTTGCTGCTGCTTGTCATTTTTGTTTTTTCGTCCTTTCCGCGCGTGTATGGTCGCAGAAAAGGACAGTGGGGTGATTTTTCTTAACGAGCTGCCTAGGCCTGCAGATTGGTCCGACTAATAATATAAAAAAAAAAAAAAAAAAAAAAGAGGATGTTTGCAGCATTTAAGGTTTTGAATCTGTATATAAACCAGGTTGAAAGTTGGAATAACAAAGAAACCAGGTTGGAGCAAGGTTAGAATTTATAAATACACCAGAATTATTATTTTTATATGTCACTGTAGTTTGCATAACAAGTTACATCACAAAGTGCCAGCTACATAACGGGATGTGGTGGTTTGTGCAACATGTGACAAAAACTAAACGGTCACTAGAAGACTACCTATAGACTACAAACTGATTCAAATGCTAGTCACCACTCGATCTGAGCTTCGAATGCCGCACGGCGACGAGTTCATGGAGACACTTGGCACGCTGCATTTTAACCACGTATATCGTCGTGACTGATATCTGCAGACTGTCTTTTGTATAATGTATAATCACTGTGACCCCGGCTTAAAGGTACTCCTAGTAGAAGCAAACAGCGCAATAGGACCCGCGCATAATAAATATCAAAGATATTAAAAGAAGGACAGCACGGATTGCACTACATGGTATGAGACCTCGTGCTCAGGGTCAAAAAGCTGCGTCAAACAACGCGCGTAAAAAAAAGAAGTGCAGCATGGTTATTTTTGTTTATGGAAATCCAATTTCTTTCTTATGTACGGAGCTAATTTTTTTTATACGTGCTGCAGATTGCAGTCAAATATATCCAAAGGCGCGCTTGCAGCACTAGCCGCCACATGTCCAGATGAATATCGCAAATTAACTAAGCATCACAGCTTGTTTATCTACTTCCCCGGGGCCGGTTTGCTCATCTTGCGGCCGCGGACGCGGCTGCGGCCAAGAGGGATTTTTATGTCACGTGACCAGCTCCATGGGGACGAGGAAGTAGCTAGCGTCCCTGCCTAATGGCGGAGAAATCCGTATCGCTTCGAGCACAAAAGCCTGATTTCGCTCGCAGAAACTGACTGCATGGACTTTCAACCGGAGTCTAATTGACCGCCCCTTTATACTGTAGGAGCGGCAGGTAAAGTTACGGCCAGGGACGGTAAATATGAGCCAAAATAAAGGAAAACACCACGCGAGGTAAAAGCGATGGCAGTATATTTATATACCCCCCGCCAGCGCCGGCGTCACGCGAAGAAAAAAAAAACAAAACAAAACAAAAAACACTTTTGTTGTGGTCGAGAGGTTAGAGCGCCGGTACTTGTCGTCGCGGCGTGACAGTTCTGGGTTCAAATCACGCCAGACACTCTTTTTTTTTTTTTTGTGCAGTGCACTTTTAATAAGGATGTAGACAAAGCCCTGTACTTTTGACTCACCAATTCGCTGTTCATGACCTCGGAAGAGCGCATACATGTCTCTGGCTTTTTTTACCAACTTCCGCCACGCCTCCTGCATGATCTGCCGTGCACTCCGCGGAAAGTTGACATTATCTTATCATGCCCTTCTCTTCGTTCGCCAGGTAACTGCGCTGCTGAATTTCTCTAGAATTTGTTGCTTCCGTTTTCCAACTGTTCTATTTAATTCCATCTGCTGATCCAGTCATTTTAGGTGTTTGCGAGATGGTTTGCGATGTCGACGCCTGATTCATTTTTGCATTCGGTTGTGATCGTCTGCTATTCTAACTCAAATTCAACAAGTAGTGTGTTAATATTACGAAACGATTGCCACATCAAAATGTAAAAAGTAAAAATATACCTTTTATCACATTCCAGGCAAGTAAAAGTATGATCACTTTTATTTCAGTTTTACGACTTTCTCGGACGTTTGACTTGCTGCCTTGCCTGCAGGATTTCGCTCAATCAATGCATCTACAGCTGCTAGTCTTATTTTTTTTTTGCTAATTTTGTCAAAGCTTTTTTTTTTTATAACTGTCACAACTGCAGTCTTTATTAGTACTAAATAGGCACCTCCTATTATTGAAAAGAGTCCTAGCAAGAGCGTTGTATATTTAAGAACACATAAAATTGTACTTGCTGGGGAAAGGATACTTGTTTCGGCTCCGTTTGTGTGAAAGTCTTGTCGGTGCTGTTATCTTAGTTTCCTTTTAATGAGCATTCTGAAACGATTGTATTAGCGCGTTAAATTGCCTTGATCTTTTTTTTTTCTTGCCAGTGTTTCGATTGAACAGGTAGGAGTAACAGTAAAAACCGTGTAAGGCGCTGTAGTGCAAGTGTATGATTCGTAAAAACGAACACCGTCAAAAAGAAGGTTCTTAGTGCGATTTGAACCCGGAACCTTCACGCCACGACGACAAGTACCGGCGCTTTAACCTCTCAAACACAGCAGAAAGAGCGAGCCACCGGCGCTGACGGAGGTATGTAAATATACTGCCACCGCTTTTATCTCGCGTGGTTTTTTTCTTTATTTTGGATCATATTTACTGTCTCTGGCAGTAACTTTACCTGCCGGTCCTACAGTATAAAGGGGCGGTCAATTAGACTCCGGTTGAAAGTCCATGCAGTCAGTTTCTGCGAGCGAAATCAGGCTTTTGCGCTCGAAGCGATACGGATTTCTCCGCCATTAGGCAGGGACGCTAGGTACTTCCTTGTCCCCAAGGAGCTGGTCACGTGACATAAAAATCCCTCTTGGCCGCAGCCGCGTCCGCGGCCGCAAGATGAGCAAACCGGCCCAGGGGCAGCTGTTCACCGCTCTACCACAATACTCAAATATCGGTAAGTAGAGCTTGCAGTAACTCGACGTAACAATACTTTTTCTTGGAGTCTTCTCCCTCGCGCCATGCTGTCGATGACTGGGTTGGGAGCGCCACCCCGCGGAGAGACGCCGCCTCCTCTTTTTCCGATTACGCCCTCCCCGCACGAATGGGACGGCCGGAGAAGCGTACGCGCGCTTCAAGATCTCGGAGGCCATGGAACCATCGACGACACACTAGCTCCGTGGCGAGGCGGCGCCGTTCAGACACTTCTTCCACCATGCGTCTGACAGTCTTTATGGTGTATTCGCACGAGAAGTTTTTATCTCCGGAGAAAACCAAATACGTCATAAACCTGCGAGAAGGCAAGGACACGAGAAGGAGGAGGCGGTGCACAAAATCCAAGCGAGCATTCCCACGACGGAGTCACATGTAGTTGAGTCGCCGGAGTCTTTCTTTGCGCGAACCTGCTGGTTCAATATCCCCCCCCCCCCCCCCCCCCCCCTGCCCGTTTCGATCTGGATGAGTTTCGTACCGGCATGCGTTCATGAAATCACTACTGCGTGATGCACGTTAAAGACCCCAGGTTAGCAGTGGTACTGCACTGGCTAAATTGCTCATCTACAGTCAAGGGACAAGTCCCCATGAAAGCGTAATAGCATCAAGACGCTTTCTTTTTTTAGCTCGCTGGCTATTTTTGGGCGGGGGTTCATCAAACAAAAGGCAGAAAAAAAAAATCACCCCACACTTTAAAGCTGTTGATAATTCTTCCCCAAGAGCGGGAGGACAAAGGAGGGGTCGCTCCGACTATGGAGCCGCCCACTCCGGAGTCGGCGAGTATGTAGGCTCCCTAGCTCCGACGGGACGACGGATATTCTGTAAGCCGGTCGCGGACTCTCCTCGGCTCCCCACGAGCTCGGGGGATTCGCTAACATCAGTGATAGAAGAAACTCCGTCGCGCGAATACACCAAAGTTCGACAGCGAGAGCCGAGTGGTCGTTCAGCCAAGAGTTGTCAAACTTGCGGGGGAACGGGACTTCACCGACCGGCACTTGGATTCGAAAAATGTTTTGATTGCACTCGCAGCGTTGTGTGACTCTGAAGCCTTGAAGACGTAATTAGCACACCAAAAAAAAAAAAAAAAAAATTTCCCCTCCTATTCTCTGCACCCATGTTTGGTAGAGTACTTCCGGTTGGACATACCCGACGCTCTCATCTGGCGGCCATTCGTGGCGCTTGCCCTTGTGCTGGGACAGGTTGGCGTGGACCTGCCCCGTCTCGGGCCGGGTGTGCGGCTTGCTGCTCAGCCCCCGGTCGCGGTGTTCCTCGTGCACCTTGATCACCAGGTACGGGTGGCCGTGCAGCATCGGCTTGGCCGTCGTGCGCGGCACCAGCACCGGGATGCAGTTCGCCGCTGGAGGAACAGAGCATCACCCCCGGGCCCCGAGTACGTCATACACACCAAGTGGTGACGTCATACACAGTAAAACCAGGGACGGATCCAGAACTCCGTTTTGGGGGTGGGGGGGGGGGGGGAATTTTTAAGGATACTATTTTTCCATTCTTTCTTGTGCACGGGGGGTCCACCCATGTCAAATTGCCCTCCGAGAAGGGGGGAGGGAGGGGGGTCGACTTTGTTTGGGGGAAGCGGCCGCCCCCGTCGCCCCCTCCTTGTATCCGCCACTGAGTAGAACACAGGTGACGTCCTACACTGGTAGTGAGCAGAGCGTATTCACAGGCACTCCGTTCTCGCGAATACGGGTTTCTGCTCATGTGCTGTGCTTCCAGTTGTCATTCAAACTTTCATGTAATTTACGGACGGGTCGGTTGAAAAAAAATTATGAATAAACACCGAAACTAGACTAGACCATGAAATAATAATGGTAATAATTGCTTGGTTCTTTCACGAAACACTTTCAACGTGTTTATACGGTCATTTTAGTTCTTGTATTTGTGGGAAATGCGTCGCCGTCCCTCACGTGGACAGTTGCGCGTGCGTCGACCATGTGCTACGCACATATACAGTAGTGGCGGCGTGCTGGAACTACAGGTGCACTTCTCTAGCTATCATCATCATCATTTGTGACGTCACGGGTAGAACAGACTGGGACAGAGATCTTGGATCCCTCGGCTCGTCAGCTCGCTTCGTACGCTGTTTGGGTAACGCGCAGCGAAGCCTGTTTCGCGAGTTGTGGTTATTCGGTCAAGTGATACTTGTAGTAGGACATTTCACCAAACGCTTGAAACCGTGGCACACGTAGTCATGCTAACAAACACTTAAGGCGATGAGGTGTCAAAGCGCTCAGATGGTGGTATGCTGTTCTCTACCCCAGTACAAAGAGCTGGATGATGAAAATGGAATATCCAGCGCTTTACCCCACTGCAACGTACACCACCGCAAATAAAGATTTTTGTGTGTGTGATTCGGACAAAACGAAACTGATAAAGGAATCTGCCATCACATTGAAATTAGGAAAGCGAAATTTGAGAACCTCTCACTTGTGTATAGTAATCACTTTAGTGAAAGCGACTCCGTGCACCCTGTTGGTTCCAACGTGTTTTGTGAGTGCTTGTCTCTTATCAGTTCAAAGTTGATTCCTGTCTTTAACCTTGTAACCCAGTAAACATACATTCAAATAAATGGCAGGAACAAGCGGCCGCTTAAAGGGATGCTGAACCGAAATCTGGATTCCCCAGAACACGCGGCAAAAGCGTGCAACGGGATGCTACAAACACCAAAACATCATTCATACAGCGATATCTCGATCGGATGACCGAATTTTTCAAAAAAAGAGGCGCATTTGGCAGGAATGTTGACATCATGTTCCTCCGAGAAGGAGAGGGAACGGCCTCGCGTCTTCTCCGCCTCGCGGCCTTGAACAACACCACCTAGATGGAAAGCCGGAGCGCTCCCCTCTCACCCTTCAAGGAGCGTCGGCATAAGTAGGCTGAACTGGTAGGGCGCTTCTCCGCAAGGCTCCCCTTGACAGTTGGCTTCTTTGCAATGCACGTTCTCTTTTACTTTCTCTTTCCCTCTACGCTTGCACGCTTGAGTCTTGACGCGGCGTAAACAAAAAAGACGCCACGGCGTCGCGTTTTTCTTTTCTTTTTTCTTTTTCTCCCCAACGGTCGTCCGTCGCGTTCCTTTCTTCGACGGTTTGTTTAACTACTCCTGCGAGTTGGGTCAAGTGACAATAGGGCTGAAGGAATCGACTAGGACAACTCTAGAAGCGAGTAGGTTTTTGGACGCCGAGGGTCGAAAGTTCTACTCTCGAGTAAGATCGAGAACATTTTGGAATACAACACAACTGCGACTTGTTGTGTGTACGTCATGGTGAACGTGAACGTTGCTTTTCGATTGTCGCAGCTGTCATTCCGTACAGATGTTGTTTATCCGCGCTTTGACGAAAAGCTGGATGTAAAAGTGTCCATATTTGAGTTTCTGCAAGGATGGCCACGAAAGCGTAGACTATACAGCGAATCGATGGGAAGATCTCGCTCCTTGACGGCATGGCAGGGTGAGAACTTTTTGATTTTTATGATCGTGGTTTCGTTTCTTGTTTTTACTTTTCGCTGAATGCATGCCTGGGATTGATTTGGTTGCGGCCTGGAAGCAACATATTCAAATGCTGGCGCTTATTGTAGGTGCAGAGCAGAACTAAATAGAAATGACTTGATTTATGAGTTCAGGTTTGAATGCATGTTTTCGCAAGGTATGCAAGTGATAGGTTATCGCGGTTGCAACCAACACATCAATTAAAAAAAAACAAAACATAAGTACATTGTGTCGTTTCTGCGTATCCTCATCGGAGCGCAGAAATGATCCGCTAAAACTAACTAGTACGATCTATATTTTAACGGGTCTCTGAGCTGTAGATTGGAGTGCACGCAAGCCGGAATATGGTTCATTGATCAGTTTACTTATCCATACACCAGAGCCATATACTAACAATTTAGCTGGAGCCCCTACAGGCTCCCCAAGGAATCCCGCCACACACCAGGAAGCTATTATTATTATTATTATTATTATTATTATTATTATTATTATTATTATTATAGCGCATTTGGAACATCAAATTCAAGAATAATTTGACGTTTGTGATCCAAAATACCAGATCGAAACACTGCCAGTGTTTTTTCTCAAATACGGAACCACTTCAGCTTAAGGAAGAGCTTTTTTTCTTTCTTTTTTTTTTCTTTTTATAATAATTTTTGATTACATTACCTTTCTTTGGATTAATATGATTTCCTCCTTTTTCGTTCTATTTCCCACAGAAGCGGTCAAATACACATCCCGGATACTGCTTTGATGAACTCGGGCTATTGTACGGCCTCCATGGGACAAGGTGAAAACTGGCACCTTAGAAGAGTGCTTCGGAACGTATAGGCAACTGGCTTGCTTCTAATATCACGTGTCTACAAGGCATATTTACGAAGATGAAAACAAAACACTGCTGTGGAGCACAATGTCGACGATCACTACAGCTAGCAAGGATGGAAACGAGAAAGATCTTCCCAAGCGAGCGGATACTTGACGCCCTACCTGCAACGTGGTATACATGCAATGTGACCCTGGGCTGTAAAAAATAAGACACAGCCTCCCGGCCTTGGGCTATGTGGCCAGCCGTGCAGTCTACACCACCTTGAAAAACCTAAGGGGCGAAAAATGCAAGGCCGCATCGACAGCACGAAACAAGTTGGCTACAGTTTGCTTGCACAGGAAGACTGCTGGTGTAAATGCTGTAGAACACATTTATGTTGTTCACCAATTGGTAATGCCCAGCCAGTGCCGACTTGTTACATATCTCATAATGGAACTACTCGCCAAGAAAAAAGACTGCCGACTGTGAAAATTAACATACAAATGAGCTCATGTTAAAACACGTGTTGTTGTCGCAAAAAAATGCCCAAGTATTTTCGTGCGACATGTTTGCAGCAAAATGAATGTTCGCATTAATGCCAAGAATGCCAAACAAAAGAAACAGACAGCTGAAACTCTGCGATCAAAGACACTCGCTGCCAACCGTCACGGATGTCAAGAAGCGAACTCAAACCAAGGAAGAGTATGTCTGACGCCTGGCGTGACGAACCCATCGTGAGTTCGAGCTGAAACATGCGTTGGACTGCAGTGAAAACATTACACTGAGAAACCTTTTGTTGCAAGATGACAACAATATTATAAATGCCAGAGCAGCATCTAAGAAGAAAAGAGCTAAGAGGTCAAGGCTGAACAAATTAGTTCCTGTCCAGCCAGCAACATGCTTGCGCTTCATCCTCACGCAAAGGCAACTGCCCTCTGAAGTCGGTGAATCTGTGTGTGTGTGTATGTGCAGATAGTCGGTGTGCTTGTAGCAGTCTTGGGTATCTCGTGGTGCTACACCGTAAATGCCAACCTGCTGCACAGATATTGTGTGTCTCGGTGTCACGAAATCTACAGCATCGAAGATGCACTTGTATAAATGTTTTTCAAGACGGATATTTTCAGAACTTATGGATACCAGGAGCCTCGTTTCGCTATGTTCAAAGGTGACCAGTTTCTTATATATAACTCTTCTGTGTTGTAAATTCAAGCAACTCTGAATATGAGGCTCCCATGCCCACTACAAAACTTGTTTTTAGCCGCCCTAACTGTGCCACAGACTCGGTACTGTTGAAGTACATCAGCTTATGGGGCAACGCTCGGGTATTACGGTACTTTTTGCAAATATAAAGTTTTCACATTATGACATTGCCAAGAAATAGGTCGGAGGTGGTTTTTCGATGTAGTAACCAGATACGTTGCTTGCTGCAATACAAGTACTATATTTGAACAGGCATAGTGTATCGAATTGCTGAACCTATGCAGGTTTATCACAGGTCTAAGAAATGTTTGTCAAAATATGTGCAATACATTTTTCAAACTATGTGCAATACATTTTTCAAACCAGCACATCACAATTTTAGAATGTTATTACTTTTATACTTGTCTGGCAATTCGCGTCCCGTTGCTGTTGCATCAGGTGTCCCTTAGGGTAGTGTACTCGAGCCTCTATTGTTTCTAATATATATCAATCACCTATCATCAATTAAATCGACAATTAGACTTTTCGCTGATGCTTCAGTTTTTTACCGGAATATTAATACACCTATAGTGATCACAATATTGTCCAAGACGATTTATATACAATATCATCATAGTGTTCTCTATGGCAGATGAACATTAATTAACACATAAATGCAAAGAAATGTCCATAATTAAGTCCACTAAAACACTAACCCAGTACTCATTACTTTTCCAACCACTTTAACACTCATTGTTGTACAAGTATTTGGGCATGTATTTAAACTCATTATCGTCGATTGAGCAAATAACAAATAGTGCACTAAAAACACTTAATTTGTGAAAAAGCTATTTGTACGAGAAAGTGTTCGTGT